CAACTCGATGGGCTTCACAGGGCCCAACCTCATACGCTACCAGCGCCTTGGCGCATTTCTGCATGCCCTTCAGTTGCCGTGGGTGGTTGTGGGGGACTTCAATGTCCCAGCTGCAGCGGTCACCAAGTCTGAATTCGCAGCCCGAGTTGGAGGGCATGTGCTGGCTCCCGACGTTCAATACACGTGCGACTCGGGAGTGAACGGCAGCATGATCGATTTCGTTCTGTGCAGCACGTCGGCGCTCTCGTACGTGAAGGCAGTCAGGCCAGTCTTCTCGGTCCCCTGGAAGACCCACATCGGCATCGAGGTGCAGGTCAGGCAGGCAGGGGCACAGCTGCTCTCGCGCTCGCTTGTGCTGGCATCCAAGTTGCCTCAGATGGCTCGCCCTGGCACAGAACCGACAAGCGGGTCTAAGGCCAGCCGAGCTCGCGCACAGCGAAACATTGCTCGGCAGGAGGCGGCGGCGAAGCGTGAGGAAAAGTATGATCAGTTGTTCAGTGATTGCCTTGTCGCCCTCAACCCCACTTCCAGGCCCTCTCCCAGCAGTGACACGACCGACGTCGGTGAGGCGTTCGGGGCTGAGTCGTTCTGTTCCGAGGAAGACCCGTGGGCTGATGAGTTTAATTTCACTTCGACACGGGATGAGGTTACCCTTGAATCCCCTGGAGTTTCAGGATCTGGTTCGAGTACGGACGGTCAGACGAACACGCTGGCTCCTGGGGGTGGTCTCGGGGCCTCGTCGGTGCTCCTGGGGACTCCCTCGTGTTCGTCGGATCTCGGTACTGAGCCTATGGTCCTTAATTCGACCCAATCCTCTAGCCAGCATAGCAGCGTAGAAGTTGTTCCTTATAATATTCCTGCTGAGTTGTGGGAGGCCCAGAGAGCCTCGGTAGGTTTCCAGAGTTTCCCCTCTCTCTCCCTCCCTCCATACATTCAGCAGTCAGCCGTCTACCAGATTGACCCTGAAGGATGTTGTCTGGTTAGTGGTATCTATTCGTCGTGGGTAAGGACCCTAGAGTCCACTATACTAGCACATCATCGGGAAGAACAGCCTCATGGTGTGTCCCGTGCTGACGTTCCTCGGTTCGTCGTTCATGAGGTGCAGGTGAATCATAAATATCGGTCGGCTCTGTTACGGGATGCGGTTTCTAATTGGTGGGCTAGATTGCATACCGTACTAGTGGGGATTCATAAGCATCGCAGTCGAGGAAACGGGCTGTCCCAACGACGGCAACTGGAGAAAGCGTGTGTAGGCTTGGTTGGAGATCGTCCAGAGCAGGTCCATTGCAATATCCGCGATGGTCTGGAGGCTGGGTGGTCTGAATGGCTGAAGCTGCTTTCTGCCGTCTCTCAGGCGTCCCTCGACACGTTGTTGCGCTTTGCCACGTGGGCTGATAGAATTGCCAAGCGGAGCCAGAGGAGAGCGACGGCAGCGTCGCTCAAGGAGTTCCGCGAGTGGGCATCGT